GAAAGGGCTTGTGTCGCTGAAGTTTCATCGGAAATAAATTAGACGGTAAATTAACAAACCAAGAGAGACGTAACACTATATTGTAAGTATGGAAAATGGAAACATTATAAAGTTAGAGCAATCGCCCAGAGTCCCCGATTTGAATATGATTTATCAAGGTTAATTTTCAACTACAATTAGGGAAGTTAAACAGTGTGAACATTTTTGTCCTAACAGACCTAAAGTACTTGTTTGAAATTAAGCACAAAACTACACCACGTGCTATCTGAGCTCTGCACACCACGGGCCACGAGTAATGAAAACTTTTTTCTAGCGTTGTGAGTCTGCTACTGAGGGACAATCCAAAGTGAAAATTTAAAATGTGATGTTTGAGAATGAAATTTAAACACTGCCCCTTCTAAATTTTGACTTCTTTATACAACTTACTGTTTCATTGTCACAAAGAAACTTTCATATTCATTTAAAAATTCAATCGCGTGTTGAATTAGCGAGTTTGTTAGTAAGTTTCTTACTTCCAGCCAGTTAGTCATTTAGGTCAGTTAAAAACCGTCAGAGCAGTACCAATTAGCATGGACTGAGAAACCTAGTGTTTAACGTGCCCGCTCTGTGAATCCAAGGGTTTGTGGTTTACGTCACGTTACCACAAAAATGTGCTCTGACTTTGGGGCTGTGGGTGCACTATATGAGTGGCGGTGAAATTCCATTATTCAGTCATACAAGAGTAGTCCATAAAGATAATGGTGGAGGTTGTTGATTAGTTGTCTTTCCTCTAGTCCAAGGGGTTCTCAAATGATTTTTCTCAGTCCCAGACTCCACTTTTGTGACTGAATATTCAAGAACACCCTATTTGTCAGGTAACTAAAAACTAAAAAAGAATAACTACCATGGTATAAAAACGCTAGTACAATAACACAATGCTACACATACAATTTATTTTTCAATTATTCGATAACTTTGAAACATTCAATACCAAAACATGTAAAATGGAAAGAAAAAGAAGGGTTCTGAGTAGTCTAGAATCTGAGGTTGTGTGCTTTACGTCCAATTGGCGTCATTTGGGATTGTGGGTACAATCTAATACTGACAGTCATACCGTACTATTTCGTCAGACAAAACTAGCACAAGTGTTAGTGGTGAATGATGTTTACTAATTGTCTTACCTCTAGTCTATAAGTCCAAAATTAGGATGGCTATGCGGAGATGGCCTTCGTGTGGCTTTTTGAGAAGAAACTAAACTAATTATCATAGTATTTTAAATCGATATCTTACTTCGTTAATTCACCTATCATATGATTAGAAACCTGTTTAGTCTCTGTATTCACCTTATTTTAGGTTTATTGAGAATGATTGAAACTGAAAAAAATTACTGTTGAAAACAAATATCATTATCGTTAAGATAAAAGCGATACTCAGTAATTTCATTTTAACAAGCTCTTAAAATTACACTACGATCTTACCTTGGAATTTTGTAGAAAAATCAAGGACATCAAAGAAACACAAACTTGGCCCAACACCGACAAAATGATGATTATGAAACGAAATTCTAAAAGTAGGGAGTTGAAACAGAATGTCAATTAAAGATACAATGGAAACAGGCGTTTTAGAAAACAGTAACTATCTAGAGAGAATTAAGTATATAAAACTTCAGGTCTGGCATGCGATAAAGGACATAAAATCGAATTAGAAAGTTTTCTAATGTTTTTATCGTTTATTTATAAGGTTTCTTAATTCAGTAATATGTAAAATGTGTTGTAGAGTTTATATTCCTTGATAAACATGATACATAACATACAAGTTTTCATTTATTGCCTGTTTTATAGATTGTTCACTTTCACACCTTTGCTTACTTCATCAACACACAATGATAAAAATGTCGTTCTTTTATATGATTAATAGTTATCAGCAAACTAAGTTCGAAAACTTTGATAAGTGACAGTTTTCTTAAACTGAGACGTAATAATCAAACCCACAACCCATATGAGAGTATATGGAAAGTAATGAGCTTTAGCGATACAAATGTTCAGTGTGTTACCTTTGATCAGCTATGTGCATTGTTGTCGGTGCTATAGTTCGCCACTTTGCGTGTACACCCATAGGGAGCGTGTTTTCTGCTCTGCAGTCGTTGGACAACAAAAAACATTTATGTTGCTATTGTTCACCTCTCTTTCCTTGTACTCCCATAAGGAGAAAATTCTTTTATATAATCCTGATATTCATGCTGGATGGAATATTTGATTCTTGTTAAGCGCAAAGCTACACACTTAGCTATCGGTGTTCTGCCCACTGTAGTACCGAAATCCGATTTTTAGCGATATAAGCCCACACATTAACTGCTCAGCCAATGGGGCCAGGTTTGACTGAAATGAGCTAAATAATTCGTAAAATAAAGTTAATGATGAAAGCAGAATATCAGAACTACTATATATTTACCTGTATTATCAAGGAAGTCATCCATTAGCCCCATTACTTGAAGCACAATAGTTGATATCATCCCTATCTGTGGAAACAAAATACTAAATGTAATGATACATCTTCCATCAAAACATACGCTACATCCATGTAAACTAAAACATCTGACAGTAAGATGGGCATTTTATATTTATAACTCACAGAGTAAGCACAATAAATAATTATTAAGTAATTTTAAAATAAAAACTTACTGAAAATTTGGTCTTTCAATGAATGGCTTACACGTTGTTTGTGTATGATTTGACACTTACATGTTTAAGAGTATAACATTTTTGTAACATTGTTTAATAGACAAACACAAAGAGATATGGTTATTATTATTTTTGGTGACTGATTTTTTTCGGTATCTTCTTACGTTTTTGGTTATCTTAATTTTCTTGCAGCTACAACTAACCTTTTAATTTAATAAAGAACGAGGTAAGGATATTCTCGCTGCTTCTAAATTCGCAAGTCAACCAGTCAACAGGTAAAGAAAAGTCAATAATGTTCCCTCATAAATATAAAGCTGTAAATTATATAAATGGTAAGTTTAACCTGATTGTTCTCAGGTTTTAGAAGTATGTCTTTCCAAACATAAATTAATTAGTGTTTGATTATCAAGGCTCAGTAACGCCCCCAGTGGCACAGCGGCAGGTCTGCGGACTTATAACACCTGAAACCGGGTTTCGATACTCGTGGTGGGTACAGCTCAGATAGCCTATTGTGTTGCTTAACTAGAAACCAAAAATCTTAAGGAACTGTTCTAACTTAAATCTAAATTCCCATTGAAGTTAACAAACTGCAGTTATAAACAATACTTTACATGAATAGGAAAATGAGGATGCAGTAGCAGCTGTCTTTTTCTTTTCTCACGATTTGTGGCTATATACACGTATATCATTTTACGCCATGTTGAGCAGTGCATAGTATAGAATTAGGATATCCTTGCTAACAATTCAGGGGTTAATTTTCAATTGTAGAACGTAACGTTAACTCAAAAACAACACCGTAAACCAGGTGAAAAGAGCTAGGGGAACAGCATTACCCTCTACAATGTTAACAGAATATATCTCGACTTTTATTTATTAAGATTTAAACATATTTCAGCCTTTTAAGAAACATATATATACATACAGAAGAATACTAAACGTATATATAAAATATATACATACATAAATATATATACCTTTTTTGTACAATTTACATTAGGTTTTACGTTTAGATCTACCTATTTGAGTCATACATAACAAACAGATTTTAAGAAAAACAGCTATTACACTGAAAACGTTATCGCTTTTTTCCTGGCCAGCGGTGATTCAACGGTAAGTTTACAGACTTAAAATGCTGAGACCCGGGGTTCGAGTCCCCGCATGGATAAAATGTAGATAGTTCATTGTGCACCTTTACATTAAGGCAGAAGTAACAACAGCGAATATATTTTACGAAACTGAGCCCGGTGATTTAGCCGGTCACACACAAAAAAAAAACAAAAACGGATTTCTGTACTCGCGGTGAGCAGAGCGTAAATAGCTTTGTTCCTAATAACAAACAAACAAATAAATATAAAAAACGATATTTGAAAATTCACATACCACACAATTTTGAATGTGATTTTGTTTGGCTGCTTCAAAATTTCGAGCAAAGCTGTCTGCATACAAAAAGATAAGTTAGTCAAACGCACCGGTAACAAAAAATGTCAGGTGGTCAAATTAGTCCGAGAATATTATATCCCTCACTCATCATGTGACTGATGGTGTCACTGCAACAAGCCATATCCCTCACTGATCGTGTGACCTATGGTGTCACTGCAACAAGCCATATCCCTCACTGATCGTGTGACTGATGGTGTCACTGCAACAAGCCAGGTGTCATTTATACCGTTCACAACAGTTTAAAATCGCACTTTACATTAATGTTGGTTACATTTTCTGTATTTCGTCTCTAGTTGCTACAACAATAGTCAAAAAGTAGATTACTAGTTTTGTTTTAAAACTTGAACGATTGGGCAAATAATGAGTCACCTATTACAAAAAAAAAAAGTGAGTTAAGTTAAAACCGGGACATTCTTCGGGACACCGGGACAGCGAGGTATGGTCACCGAGCTCTTTGGCTACGGTTGTCTGACCGAATAGTATAATTCGACTCTCACTCTTTAACGCACTCACGGCTCCTAAGTGTGGAGTGAGTTTGTGCTACAGTAGTTCGCGAACCACGAATCCTCGGATTCACTGTCTTGGCACGCTTACCATTAAGCCACGCCCGACCCATTTAATATAAATATAAGACTACCTTTTTAGTTATTTTGCATCCTGGCAGGTAAGGAATAATATGTACATAGTTAATTTTAGCCCATGTCTAATCCAAAAGAATTAGGTTTACATTTTTCATGTACTTACACTATATAAAACACCAACAGCTATGCTTCCTTTGGTTCCAGCTGCTACCTCGGAAAATACATTAGCACAAAGTGCAAAAAGAAACATTATAAATTAATTATTACTCTTATTAAATTATTCAAACATTGAAGATCTAGTCCTTTAATATTCTGTCTCTTCTGTTCCTTTCTATATTTTTAATAAACTTTGAATATTTAATTTCACGCTAACCATTCAAACACACTTGCATCAGAACTTCTGAGTAAAAAAAGATGTTGCAAATGCGTGCGCCAAAGCTAAGATGCAACAACATTAACTAAATGGGTTATCAGCTCAGTCTTTATATGTGGAGAGTCAAGGCGGTCACTTCTGACCGGGTCGAAGCGGTTCTCTGGAACGACACCATCATTTCGTGACACGTCAGATATCTCCTTAATGATAAACGTTATCTTACTGTGTAACATTCAATATAATGGATCTACCTCTTTCAATATACCATTTTTAAAACCCACGCATTACAGCTGTAATAAACATAAAATCGGCTATTTATGATAGAATCTTTTATTTAGGAATTTTTTATATCTTCTTTGCAAGTATTTGTTTAGAAAAGAAAAAATACTGCATGAAAATTGCAACACGTAAGTACAATTTTGAAAATTCATTTCTGAGATAAAAAAGAAAGTAGGTTAAGGGATTCTCCCTGTTGTCTTCTTGATTGACTAGGCCAAGAGATCACTGTGTTGGCCATAACTACTTCAGCTGTCGACTGAAGAGGTAACAAAAGACACCATAAGTAGTTTATGCTGATTAGAAAAAAACAAACAAAACTCTTGTTTGTCTTAGTTGATTCACTTGTGTATTGAGAACGGATCTTTCTGTTTCATCATACTTATGATGTCCTTATTTCCATCCGTGATGTTTTTCTTCTGTTTCATCTAGTTCTATATTATTTCATCATTAAACTAAACTCCATTTTAAGAAAATAACAACTGATAAAGGCGAGCTTTATTGCTCGTTCTTTCACATTTTCTTGATAACGATAATATGTGTCTAAAAATGAAAATTAACATTTTTATGTATAAGATATAAAATTATTACACATATGGCATGTCTGCATTATCAATGCCCCCAATGGCTCAGCACTAAGTCTGCAGGTATATTTAGTTCCTAAATCGACATAACACATATATATATGTAGAACTTGCATGTATTGATTTTAGCCTGCAAAATTTAGAAAACAAATATTATTATTGTTTACTTTTACTTGTTATAACTCACTAATTACGTAATTAACAAAAAAGTGACCCGATAATGGTAATAAAAGACTGTAGCAGTTACTTACCTTTCTAATTTAATAAGTTTTAGCTTTACTGTATTTATAAAATGGCAAAAATTATTGTTTAAAGTGATTCCAGCTGATCCTAAATCTGCGTTTCTTTGTGATATATATGATATTTACATATCAAACAAATAAATAAATAATATATACATATATATATATATTGCTAAGCTGTCAAAATCGAAAATTTTTGTTTTATTTTTAACAACAAAAACTCCCAGCACACAAAGTTCTTAAAGTTTTATCAACTCACATTGTCAAGAGCACCCTGCCGTTTATATATATATGCACGAATGTGTATGTATGTACATGGTAATTCAAAAGTAACAGGACTAGACAACATATGTAGAAGAAGAAATGTATTTCCTAACAACAAATGCTATCCAAATAATACGCTAGAAACACAAATTTTAATCAGAATGGGTATCTACATTGTGTTCTACACAGACTAACTCAAAATTTGAATTGTATGCTCTTACTTCATCATGGGAATTGCTTCTGCTTTCGCTTTTCAACTGATTGAAGATAAAAATTATTGCATTTTTGTTGCAATACTATTCTATTATTTATGGCTACTATGTATTTATTTTTTCATATCGCTTTCTTACTATCACTGAAGTTTGCGCATCAGATAACAGAATCACAAAGATATACAATGAAAGCAATTCTGCCTTCATAGTGGTAAAAAAACGTTTAGTGATAAGTTTTACTATTAATAGTTACTGAAACTTCCACTAGGTTCATTTGTTAATTCTTGGAAATGAACGATAGAAACGCTTGTTGTCAAGCTACCTTTGTACCAAGGCGTTTCTTGAACGTTTGTATGTGTAAACGTAACGCATTGTAGTGCAACAGTTAATAATATAGAATAGTGTGGTTATCATAGTGGTTCAACAATACTTTGTAGATTTTGTTCTCTGATATCTATTTTATTTATATGAAGAATGTCGGAAAACGGCAGATCATAAACACCTCAAGCATTGTAATGAGTGAATTTTACTACACAAATTCAGTCTGAAGTGTTTCCCAGAATACAGGAATCTGAAGCAGTTGGAAGGAAGTCACTCTTGTAAACCTTGTCGAAGACTTTTTGTCCTCCCCACAATATTCATTAATCATTTTCAGAGAAAATTCCAGTTATAACTTCATCAGTAAACAGTAGCTCAAAAATAATAAAATTATATTGCACATGTTATATAAGAATATCTGCTTTGTCTTTACTGCTGAATTTATAATGACACCGGCTGATGATTAATAGATTGTATTCTATTCCTAGCATGAATTATTGGGTTATGATTGGTCGAAAGAACATCAAATGGTATGAAACACTTAACATGTTTCCTTGAAAAGCCGGTCAATAACAGTGTCTCCTGGTTAGCAAGGGCGTTTACATGCATTTCGACGTCGCAGCAGAACTTTGCAGACGACAGTTTTTTGCAGCACAGTAAAAACACGTTGATTCATTTAGGCCTAATTACAAACAATTTGCTCAAACACGGAAAATAAATGTGGATGTATGGCGTAAGATTTCAGTTACTCACAGATGATGGGTTAAATAGTTTAATTGCAAAAAAAGAAAAGGACAGTGAGAGTATTAAAAACATAATCAGAGGAGCTGTAAAAGTTTATGAGGAATAAAGCACTGCACGGAGGGTAAATGTGGATAATAGCATTGCACATCCCGCCAGCATTTTACTGTTTTCTAAGTAAATCTTATATTGTAGTTAGATAGGTGACTTTTTATGCGTTTATAATAATTTGTAAATGCGTGAAGCTACAATCTTTTTTTTTTCATGATCTGATATTCAGTGATAAATTTGTTGAATTAATGTGATCGAATTCTCAATTAAGTTAATATTTTCTCATATGAATATTGTAATTATCTACAAAATGGGCGTATGCCCTTCCTAATATGTTACCAGTAGTTACATGTACTAGCAGAGACGCCGCCGTACGGGCGGCTGTTTGTGCTAGTAATTGCCAATCGTAATATTCATACCTCATTGAAAAAAAATTAGAAAAAGTGGACATTCTCTAAAAATGAATTTTTTAAAGAGAAATACTGCACGGGGAAAGTGTTCGGATTGTGCTCTTTAGTAATACGCAACTCATTGCATCAAAATGATTCAATGTACAGAACTCAAAATTTTCATACATTTTACTGATATAAACTGTAATGTTTGTATATATTAAAAGACTGTTTATTGAAAAAAATATTAGATTTTAAGAACTCCAGTTTCTTAGTACTGCCTTTATAAATTACATCAATAAAGATATAATCAAACCCTCACGTACAATCCTAGTGAAAGTCGTATTCTTGTTATGAGGAAAATATTTTTGTTGAAAATTGTGTTATATTATAAAGAAATTGTTGTTGCAAATAACAGAGTAATTATTCTAATTGTCTGAGTTTTGAATATACCCAGAGTGTGAAATTTTTATTTGTTTTGTTATTCGATAGATGGCGCAGGAACTTTGGTTATGCACATAGATACTGACATACACGTTACGTCCATTATAGTAAGATAGGCGAAAAGGCTTACGAGTTGAAATTGCATATATTGAGATCCTGGAGCAGTGATAATAAT